TTTTGGTTTTTTGAGACAAGGTTTTTCTGTGTAGCTTTGCGCCTTTCCTGGAACTCGCTTTGGAGACCAGGCTAGCCTCGAACTCACAGAGATCCTCCTACCTCTGCCTCCCGAGTGCTGGGATTAAAGGCGTGCGCCACCTAACACATCATCCCTCAACTAAACCCTCAATTTCCTGCCTCTCTTGCCTCTAAGTGTGGCTGTGCATTTCTGTTTTGACTGATGGATGCTAGTGGGTTGACCATGTTCTCTTGGCTTCCTTTGTTTTACTACTAGGAAATGAATGTGCTGGCTGCAGTCAAGGCAACTGCCTTGAACCAAGGGAGCAAAGAAAGTTAGATGGGGTTTGATTCCATGGTGACAACTTCAGAACTCCCACGGTACTCCTGGATTTATCCATTCTCACCTCTCCTTACACAGAAGAACACTTTACCTCACTTGGAGGGAAATTACTGTCTCCTGGGTCCCTGTTATATACAACTCCTAATTCTAAATAACCTAATCTCACTATATCTGCGAAACAATACTCCTATATTTCTACCTCCCCGAGTCTTTAAAGATCTAGCCTCTTTTTTGTATCTCTTAATCCATTCGTATATATTCACATAGATTTAGTTGTGTGTGTGTGTTCGAATGCACATGTGCATGCCACAGCATGTATGTGGAGGACAGAGCACTTGAGAGTCAGTTCTCTCCTACTTGTTCAGGTCCCAGGAATCAAACTCAGGTTGCCAGACTTGGCAGCAAGAAGCCTTTACCCACTGGGCCATCTTGCCAGCCCGAGACCTAGCCATTTTCTTAAGGAGAGGAGGGGATTCCATCACATTATATGTTAGTGGTCTCTCTGGAATTCAGAGCATTTGCTAGAAAATTGCCTAATGCATCCAAATAGTTTAGATCTAGCTTATTGACTGCTAAATGAAGCAGCATATAAAAGGTAAAGACAATTTCCCCGTGGGTTCCTTTTCCTACCGCAATGCAGCACGGGCTGAGATGACATCAGTTGGAGCAATTTTCCCTCTCAAAGGGACAGAGAGAGCGCTCTGATTGACAGATGAGCAGGTGGGGCTTACCATGGGGCAGGGAAGTCACTTTTTTTTTTTGGCTCGTGCAATTGCCCTGTAAGCTCTTTGAGGGTAACATCTATGTCCTGTGTGCTGGCTAAAACAAGACACAGCAGGTCTTCAGGAAATTCTGTTAAGCAGTTAATTAGATGAGGGAGAACAAGGGGAAAATAGAGCAGCCTCCCTCAGTGGATCTATCTCAGTGAAACCGATCAGCTGAAGAGAAGTTCTGGGTCCTGAGTGATTTTTTTTTTTCTGGCTGAATTTTAGCCTTAACTTTAATAGGGAATTGTAAGAGAATGGGCATGGGGAGAAGAATACTGGTAAACATAGAATTTCTGAGAGGAAGTCTACATAAATCTTTTTACTCCCCCTCCCTAAATGTTCTTATGACAGCTGAAGACCACTCTGTGGTACTAATTTTGTCCATGGCAAGCTCTGAGAATTGAGCTGATTCAAGAACGTTAGTCTCGATTTCACGTTTCTCTGGGAGTGTAGATGGCTCCTATGGTAGTTCTATCTCTGGATTTCTGAGAAACCTCCACACTGAATTCCATCCAGTTTACAGTCCACCAACAGTGAAGAAGATTGTTTCTCTATAATCTCACCAGTATCTACTCTCGTTTGAATTATATATACATGTATGTATGTATATATATAACTTTATATATTACTAATAACATGGTTATATTATAGTAATTATATTTATCAATATAATTAATAGTTAAATAATTATATTAACATATAATAATATAATATCAATTTGCATTTCCTTGGTCAATAAGGATGTTAAACATTTTAAAGGTGCTTATTAGTCTTTAGTCCTTGTTCTAAATACTAATTAATTTTAGATACAAAAAGAAAATAAACTCACATTAATAAAATAGGCTCCTCATGGACAAATCAGGATTTAGCACCAAAACAAGGTGCTAATATTATAAATATTAAATTATAACTTAAATTTTAAAATAGACACCACTGAATTAATAAACGCTCAGGGGAGATGAAGCAAAACACCCTTTAAGGAGATATTCCAGTCAGTATATGAAGATAAGCCACTCAAAACACAGAGTTTAATCCTCCCCATATTCAAAAGAGTGATCTAATCAAAAGAGTGATTTAATGACTTACTTTCAAAGAATAGACTAGAAATAACAAAATACAGTAATTTGACAATGGAGAAACCCGGCCCAAGACTTTAGCCAAAGATGAATGTGTGAAGTGGTGTAGCACAGGTGACCTGTGTGAGGTGTGGTAAGAGGTACATTTTATCTATGTTTTCAACAAACACTGAGTCCATTCTAAAGTACAAGAAAGACATCAGGCAAATCCAAGTGGGAGCGTTCTATGGGATTCTGCCCAAGCTCTGTAAGACCATGAGGAGGAGGAGAAGGAGGAGGGGTGGAAGAGGAGGAAGAGGAGGAGGAGGAGGAAGAGGAGGAGAGAAACTGAAAAGCTGCCACAACCAGAAAAGGCTAAACAGATGTGACAACCAAATATCAAGCAGTTCCATGGACTGGGTCTGGAATAGAAGGAGATGGAAATGGAGAAACTACTAAAATCCAGATACAGTCTGGACTTCAGTAAACAGGCATATGCCGATATCACTTTACTAGGTGTTTCTCAGTATTAGAACTGAGCCTAGGACCTCTTGCATGCTAAGCAGGTGCCCCACCACTGAGCTACACGCCCAGTCATACAATGAGAAAGAATGATATTAACAATGAAGAAACTCAGTTGGCTGAGAGGATGTAGAGGAAAACTCCATGCTATCTTTGCAACTGTTCTGTAAGTCTAGAATTATTCAAAAAATATTTTAACGGTGATTTTCAAAAAAAAGTCATGAGATTTTGTCAAAGGATTTTTCTCATGGAATGAGATAGTCATGAGGTTCCTGTCTTTGAATCTGTTTATATGGTAGATTACATTTCCTAATTTACACATGTTGAACCATTCCTCAATCTCTGTTATGAAGCCAACGTGATCACGGTGGACAATCTTTTTGATACATTCTTGAATTCAATGTGCAAGTATTTTATTGAGAATTCTTTTACATCCACATTCATTGGCAAGACTGGCTCGTGATTTTCTTTTTTGTTGTTGGATCTTTGTCTGGCTTAGCGTTAAGGTAATCCTGGCTTCATGAAAATAATTTGGAAGTGTTCTCTTCTTTTCTCTCAGGGAATAATTTGAGGAATATG